CGGCGCCACGAGCTAGCCGCTACGTGTCCGTGTAGGAATGAGATGGCACCAATCTGCAACGGCCAACAACGCCGCGGCCACCAGCGGCGTGAGGGCTGCCGCCGCCCGTCCCGGGCACCGCCAGCTTCTCCCCGCCGCCGCGGCGTAGCGGCCGAGGTCTGGACGCTGCCCGATGCGTGCAGCGCGATGCACGAGACGGGCGAGGTCGACGGCGTCCAGGAGCGCCGTGTTTGCTCCCCCGGCGCGGCGGGCTGTGCCGAGGTCCCACCTCCGCCGCCTCACCCAGCGCGCGTCGCCAATCACCGCCACTGCAGCGCTCGGGGAGCCAGCCTCCAACGCGACCGTCTGGAGCTGCCCGTGGGCGCAGACGCAGAGGTCAAACAAGAGGGCCTCGCTCTTGCCTCGAGCACAGAAGCTGAGACGGATGGCGCCGCTCGACGAGCGCTCGAGCCGCTCGACCGAGCACGACAGTCGTAGCGTCCCCGGCCTCAGACTTCGAGCCAGCAGCATCTGCAAGCCTTGCTGCGGATATCGGGCACCGTCGTCGTCCCCACTGCTGCTTCTGGAAGCCGCGCCGCCGCGACCGCCGTGCCCTCGCAGCCTCGTAGCCTGGCCTGCGAGCCCTAGCTCGTTGAGCACGGCCTCCGCGGCTGGCACTCGGATGTCTCCCGACACCTGAGGATTGTCGAGCGCCTCGGTCTGCTCAAAGACGACAACATTGCAAAGATTGGCCTGCTGAACGGCGCGCGCAAATGCAAGTCCCGAAAAGCCGGCGCCGATCACGGCTACGCGCATACACACTATTTTGCTGGCGAGCCGGATGCGACACACCAAAACGCGACACGTCAAGGAGTAGCACTTTGACCTGTTCCGACCCTGATCCGACCTCTTTCGAACACCGACCTGATCCGACCGTGTTCACTTCGAACACGGTCGGATCAGGGTCGGACCAGAGTCGGAACAAGGTCGGGAAAATCCCTCCCTCCCGCCGCCGCGGTGACCCCTGTTCGAGCACGGTCGGATCAGGTCGGATCACGGTCGGAACAGAGTCGGAGTTCACAGGCCGAGCTCCGAGTTCACAGCCACGTGCCGCGTACGTCCCGTTGCCGTTCAGCACACCAGGTCGGATCACGGTCGAACACAGTACGGATCAAGGTCGGGAAAAGGGCCGCACGTGGGGCACGGCAGCTCATGTGTTCCGACCCTAATCCAACCCTGTTCCGACCGTGTTCGAACGCTGCCGAACACGGTCGGATCAGGGTCGGACCAGAGTCGGAACAAGGTCGGGAAAAAGGGCCGTACGTGGGGCAGCTCATCTGTTCCGACCCTGATCCAACCCTGTTCCGACCTTGTTCAAACCTAACAGCTAACAGGGTCGGATCAGGTCGGTGTTCACATAAGGTCGGATCAGGGTCGGATCAGGGTCGGAACAGGTCAGAGTGATACCCTCCTACGTGAGCCGACCTGTTCACACAAAAACACAACCCCGGAAGACGCACAAGCTCAGACAGTCGAGAAAGGGATAGACAGCAACGACAGTCAGAAGTCAGCGCTGGGCATTCACACAAAAAAAAACAGATTACACGAGCACGGATGGAGACACGCACGAGCGGTCCGGGAGCAAGGCGAATGCAGCCCGATGCTCCATCCACATTCCATGCCACAGTCCTCCCTCGCGTCTGACGCCGCCGCCCCCGATGCTCCAGCGACCTCCCTGTCCCCCGACGACGCCGCAAACACGCTCGCAGTCGCGCTTGCTCTCACGGAGCTTGCCTCCGCCGCCTCTCCTAGCGCCGCTTCCGCCGGCCACGCCGCCTCTGCCCTCCGCCTCCTCAGCCGCCGCTCTTGATGCCGGGATACGAGGTTTGAGCCCAGCGCATGAAGCGTGCCGCGTGGGAGACGTGCTGAGTCTGCGCGCCGTGTGTCTCGACCACCACTCCCTGTCGGCAGCTGGACCGGCTGGCTTGACGCCGGCCCATATCGCTGCATTCGAAGGGCACGCGAGCTGCCTTCGTGCGCTCCACGAACTTGGCGCCGCGGCGAGTCTGTCCGCGACGGACGAGTACGCCCGCACGCCCGCACACCTCGCGGCCGAGGAGGGCCACGCCGACTGCCTGCGTGTCCTCCACGAGTACGCCAGCCAGGGTTCGTGAGTGAATTTTCACACTTTCACTTTCACATGTGAATTCATGTGAATTTCACATGAAACGTTTCGGCCGCCCCCGTTTCACTGAAAATTTCACAAGTTCGACTACTTTCGAAGGCTCTGGCATCTCCGAGGCGGCAGCGGCGGAGGCGGCAGCAGTCGAGGCGGCAGCGGCGGAGGCGGCAGCGGAGAGAGCGGCGGTGCGCCTACCACTGCCGGCACCGGTAGGGATCTCTGTGCCACCAATGCCGCGCGTTCCTGCTTCCCACCTTCCCTGCAGCGAGGCCGTGGTCAAGGCCGTGGTCGTCCCCAAGGCTCAAAGAACAGGGGCCCGCCCTCACTGCATCAAAACGCGGTGTTTGAAAGCGAGGAAGTGTAGAAAGGAAAGAGCCCACAATAACTAGTGAGAGGAGGTGCAGCTTGGTTCGTGTCCTCGGGCGCTCGAGGACGTGTGTGTTGCCTCAATGTTCTTTTAATGCGCGCCCCCGCCGAAATACACTGCAAAACACCATACACGCGAGATGCGTCGGCAGCGACGCGCACGACCTCTTAAGAAGCACCGTGTCGTTAGGGTTAGGGTTAGGGTTAGGGTTAGGGTCAGAGAGCGTTCAAGCCGTTGTGCAGCTCCTAAGAGAATGGTCCGGTTTGGGCCGAAACCAAATGGCGGAATCAGCGGTCCGTCGACACGAGCTCTCGGTGAACGCTTTGGGTTCTTCGGGCTAGGGTTAGGGTTAGGGTTAGGGTTAGGGTTGGGTTAAGGGGTTGGTTGTCGTCGCGCGCTCTCGATATCTGGATAAGACAGAGATACAGCAGCAGAGGCGACCCAAGCGACACATCAGAGCATGGATGCTTGGGGGCGCGAGCCGCCATCTTGGACTGTGAGGCGAGTATTTGCAACCGGGAGCGGCCCTCGCCGCCGCCCCTACACCGCCGCCGCCGCCCTCCCGGTGGCAAATAATAGCCCAAGTCGAAGAGTGCGCCCCGCCCTCGGTATCTGGGCGGCAGGCGGGACTAGAGAGGCACGCTGGTGCACGGATGGGGGCGCGAGCCGCCATCTTGGACTGTGAGGCGAGTATTTGCAACCGGGAGCTCGCCGCCGCCCCTACACCGCCGCCGCCGCCCTCCCGGTGGCAAATAATAGCCCAAGTCGAAGAGTGCGCCCCCCACCTTCGGTATCTGGGCGGCAGGCGGGACTAGAGAGGCACGCTGGTGCACGGATGGGGGCGCGAGCCGCCATCTTGGACTGTGAGGCGAGTATTTGCAACCGGGAGCTCGCCGCCGCCCCTACACCGCCGCCGCCGCCCTCCCGGTGGCAAATAATAGCCAAGTCGAAGAGTGCGCCCCACCCTCGGTATCTGGGCGGCAGGCGGGACTAGAGAGGCACGCTGGTGCACGGATGGGGGCGCGAGCCGCCATCTTGGACTGTGAGGCGAGTATTTGCAACCGGGAGCTCGCCGCCGCCCCTACACCGCCGCCGCCGCCCTCCCGGTGGCAAATAATAGCCAAGTCGAAGAGTGCGCCCTGCCCTCGGTATCTGGGCGGCAGGCGGGGCTAGAGTGGCACGCTGGTGCACGGATGGGGGGGCGAGCCGCCATCTTGGACTGTGAGGCGAGTATTTGCAACCGGGAGCGGCCCTCGCCGCCGCCCCTACACCGCCGCGGCCGCCCTCCCGGTGGCAAATAATAGCCCAAGTCTCGAAGAGTGCGCCCCACCTTCGGTATCTGGGCGGCAGGCGGGGCTAGAGTGGCACGCTGGTGCACGGATGGGGGCGCGAGCCGCCATCTTGGACTGTGAGGCGAGTATTTGCAACCGGGAGCTCGCCGCCGCCCCTACACCGCCGCCGCCGCCCTCCCGGTGGCAAATAATAGCCCAAGTCGAAGAGTGCGCCCCCCACCTTCGGTATCTGGGCGGCAGGCGGGGCTAGAGTGGCACGCTGGTGCACGGATGGGGGCGCGAGCCGCCATCTTGGACTGTGAGGCGAGTATTTGCAACCGGGAGCTCGCCGCCGCCCCTACACCGCCGCCGCCGCCCTCCCGGTGGCAAATAATAGCCCAAGTCGAAGAGTGCGCCCCCCACCTTCGGTATCTGGGCGGCAGGCGGGACTAGAGAGGCACGCTGGTGCACGGATGGGGGCGCGAGCCGCCATCTTGGACTGTGAGGCGAGTATTTGCAACCGGGAGCTCGCCGCCGCCCCTACACCGCCGCCGCCGCCCTCCCGGTGGCAAATAAATGCCCAAGTCGAAGAGTGCGCCCACCACCTTCGGTATCTGGGCGGCAGGCGGGGCTAGAGTGGCACGCTGGTGCACGGATGGGGGCGCGAGCCGCCATCTTGGACTGTGAGGCGAGTATTTGCAACCGGGAGCTCGCCGCCGCCCCTACACCGCCGCCGCCGCCCTCTAGAGTGGCACGCTGGTGCGCGGATGGGGGCGCGAGCCGCCATCTTGGACTGTGAGGCGAGTATTTGCAACCGGGAGCTCGCCGCCGCCCCTACACCGCCGCGGCCGCCCTCCCGATGCGTCGAGAGTCGACTCTCGACTGCTGAGAGAGTTCATCCCACCATCAGCACCGTATTCGCCCACAGCATGCCATGAGATTCATATAGGTCTAGTGTACACATCAGCTCAGCGAGACCAATATCTCCAGCCTCCTTCATCTTGGCTGCTGCTTGGGAGCCAACACCTGTGCAAGTGAGTGTCAGAGTGTCGGAACTCGGTGGGAGCATCCGTCATCATCCACGTTCACACGACTCTTCACACTCGCTCGAAAAAGTGAAATTTCGTTTCACATGAAATGTGAAGTGAAAGTGAAAGTGAAACCGATTCGCTGTTTCCATGTGAAATCACGAACCCTGACGCCAGCTTGAGCCTCACATCGGCTGACGCCATCGGCTCCACGCCCGTACATTTGGCGGCCGAGGCCGGTCACGCGGGATGCATCCGCGCGCTCTTCGAGCTCGGCGGCCACACCACCAGCTTCGCGGCGCCAGACGGGAGCGACTTCACGCCGGCACACTACGCTGCTCAAAATGGCCACTCTGACTGCCTTCGGGCGCTGCACCAGGCCCTAACCGCGGTGATACCGCCGCAGCTGTCGGCTCTGCGGCGCATCTCCGCCACCGCCACCGCGCGCGCGCGGCCCCAGGCCTCGGCGTGGCAGACCGTGCGCAGCGAAGAGCTCCGCGCCAAGCTCTCCCTCTCGTGGTGCCCTCCCGGCTGCCTCGGCTCGCCTGCAGAGGCTGCCTGCACTAACGGCCACAAGGCTCGCGCCGCCCCGCGATCCCAACACTCGGAACCATCTCGGAACCATTTTGGGACTATCTCGGAACCGTTTTGGGACCTACATGCCTCCGCCCCTCCGCCCCCCAGGCTGCATTCCGGGTGCTCGCCGGCATCGGCGGCGCCGTCCGCTTCTGGGAGAAGCTCGCGGGAAGTCCCGGACGAATCGACACCGACTTCCCGTGGCTCCTCTCGGACCCGTCCCTGCTCAACCTGCGGGCCAAGCGAGCCTGGCTGCACGCTCGTCTCGACGCGCTGGTGGGCTGCAACGCCGCACTGGCCATGGAGAGGGACGCGCTCACGCTGCAGCTGGTCGCCCGCCGCAGCAGCCCGCTCGACGTGTCGGAGTGGCGCCCGGGCGACAGAAAGGGGGA